GGGTATGTGTGCCAAGTTTGGTCCGGATCGCTTAAGAAATGGAATTTTCTATTCGGAACATACGGCGGAGCCGGGTAAGCCAGCTAGTCTTATATATGGCATCTTATATATGGCATGATTATACTTTATATCGTCCTTATTTTGTTCTGCAATTATGGTATTCTTCTAAAATGATTTTTGTTCGTGTGCGAATGAAGGAGAAAGCTAATTGGTAAATAAGCTGCACGCTGCACTATGAAAACGGACTATGTGTTGAGTTGGAACGGAAACTTTGTTCAAAGAAGATCAAAGATTTCCTCTATCTACAAATTATAATGAGGATTGTAGCTTTTTATACAAGGTGCCCCTAAATAATGTGTCGAACGTTTGACCTTTGTTCTTTTATAACTCTTTTGTATAAAGAGCTTTTGTGGCCATTCGAACATGTTGTACAGTCCAACTTATTGTTAGATTTACACTATCGAGCAAAACATCATTCGCTCTGCATTAATGTAGGGTCACGGAAACTTTTAGCACACAGCTGTGAAAACACTATACCGCCGTAGTTCCAAAAAAATCAAGAAATCTGAAATTCGTGTACCAAGGTTTCTACGCATGCTAACTTTTTCTTTGAATTCTTACATGTTTTCAAGGCTTCTCAATGAATATTCGCTTTTTTGAGAAACATCGAGAGGACGGTTGATACGACATATTTGATGACGAAAGTAACAATACGCTGAAGCTTAAAGTCCATAATCAATTTTAGCACTTCTGACTAGCTTAGTTAGGAGTTATCCGGTTTGGTTTTGCTTTCTTGACGCTCTAAACCCTCTCAAACGTTCCCCCGTATCACGATAGTAATGAAGCGATCAATGTTTTGCTCCATGACCTAAATCTAATTTGAAGCCAGCTCAACAATACAGTGCTAAAATGGCCACGAAAGTTTTTTCAAACAAGACAGTCATTGAAGATCAAAGTTCGATACATTACTTTCGTTCTGTACATGCACTTCAATCATCGATTTTCCAGTCTCCCAAAACATAAAAATTACTTGAAAAGCTCCCTGTTGCATTACTGAGAAAAACAGCTGTCCTCGTTTCGGTACCGATGTTCTCGCAAATCGAATCCAAAGGTTCAAAAATTAGGGTGAGGAAATTTTTCGACAAAAGAAGCAAAAAAAATGAAGTTCGAAGTATCTTAACTTGTACGGCTAAATCATGTCCGCGATGACGAAAATGATGTTAATAGCCTTTTGTGCAAGATGACCAGAAAACTTTCAATACTCATAACCCGACCTAACAGCACTCAACCTCTATGTCTGCTTCCAGCATTGGTGCTGGTTAACCTGATGTTCGTAGATCATATCAAAGTCAACGGGAGCTGTTAGAAATTCTTACAAGACGCTCCTTGAAATGTTTCCGTGTGCCACTTGAATAAGAAAGTTGGAGTAGGTTAAGTACTATGGATTTGTTGCTGGTATGGATATGGATAAGTGTCCATCTTTACTGGAAGTAAAGATGGATAGTTGACAGTTAGCGCACTCAGAGTTGTAATAACGAAAAATGATGTGTAAACTCACAATTTTTATTACTTTGAGTACACGGCTACTTTAGATAAGGTATTCAAGGTTAATATTCGAAAGGGCCACTATAATAGATGTGTTTAATGAATAACGATGATTTTCGTAGCCAAAAGGCCAAAAAATGCAAGTTTTTTCAAAATAAAAAAAGGTTAACGTTATTAAAATATCACAATGGAATGGTCAAGTCGAAGTGCCATTAAGCGTAACAAAGAACACTGATTTCAAACCTACTTTTTTCTCTGCTAGCATCACTGTAGACGAAATTGTAAGCTACTCCAAAGAAGTAGTGCATGTATATAGTAATCTTGGAATACAGATCCATGTACAATACCGCTCACATTTTTTGAAAAATAGACGCGAATGTATGGACATGTATGGACATGTACGGACATGTCCATACATGTCCATACATGTCAATACATGTATGGACATCACCGTCGCGTGGCCATATCTCGCTTCAGAGTGGACGAATTCTGGATCCAAAGCGATTCGATTCAGCTCGGCGCGGAGAATCTTCTGATATATTGGAAGTGGGGGTACGATGCTTCGACATTACGTTTCCAGTTTTATCACTTTGTTCTGGGAGGTCTTTTCGAGAATATGTGAAGCAACGCCTACCCAACATAGAAGACCTTACTAGTACTATTCGATAAAAATGTTCTTGTAGATTATTGTGCGCTAAAAATTCTCAGACTTCTCTTCTTTCCAAAAGAGATAGAAGCGTTGGTGAATTTTGGAAAAATCACGCGTTTTTAAATTCTACTCGCCATAACTTCCTTCGGAATAAGTATATTTTGAATCCGAAAACAGCGCCTTGCTCAGCTCATCAAGGCGAAGCTTTTTTATACAGCATGTCCTTAATATCTCGATTTCAGTATTCTTGAATCTTTCTGCGGACGTCTTTTTGCGAAGGTGTAAAGCAGCGAGCGTTTTCCCGACTAAATTCCAGCAAGGATCTTTCGATAGCACTTTTTCTGTAGATTATGATGTGCTGAATAGTAGCCGCAGGTTTCTTTTCAAAGGAAATAGACCGGCAGGTGAATTGTGGAAAAATCTTGTCGTCCCAAATTCTACTCGCCATATCCGCAAAATACGAAGCTATCTTGCTAAGCAGATGTGAGTTTCGAAATCAGCAGGTCGCATGATTTCTACGAGCAAGTTTTCCGATATGTTCGGATTATTCCATTTTTTTCTCGTTTTACGCTCCGGAAGCTCGCCGATGGATTTTGGTCAAAAATGTTGATGTTCTTGAATTGTAAGGAAACTTCGCTTATAGAGGTTTTCGAACATGCTCTTTACGAAAATCGTGGTCTTTGAGGATTACAGATCTTCCTGGTGAGATACGGTGAGGTGACTGTAACTGAACCACGAAAGTGCGTAACTTTGCCCCACTTCTCGCGTATCTGTCAAAAAACTTGCCTGCTTGCTTTCATAAGTCAAAGTTACTAGGAATTGTGCTATCGAATGGTACATTACTCAGGCTCCAGTCTGTGAAATTCGCCTAGTTACGAGCCTACGCAAACACGTTCTCATGAATTTTGCCCAAAATGTAAAGATCGCATATCTCGTCGAAATTCCTCCGTGAGCGCTTGTATGACGCTCGTTGCGGATATTATGTTCGCTTCGTCGAACGACTCCCACTGTACTGAATATGGTGCTTGCGTCTGCTTCAGCTGCTCAATTAAATATCAAAGCTATTTCGTGGCTAGAGCTCAAAGCACCAAATCTAACACAACAAGATCCATTGAAAATGTGGAAGGATTTGATCAGCGCGAAAACCTCTATAAGCGAAGTTTCCTTACAATTCAAGAACATCAACATTTTTGACCAAAATCCATCGGCGAGCTTCCGGAGCGTAAAACGAGAAAAAAATGGAATAATCCGAACATATCGGAAAACTTGCTCGTAGAAATCATGCGACCTGCTGATTTCGAAACTCACATCTGCTTAGCAAGATAGCTTCGTATTTTGCGGATATGGCGAGTAGAATTTGGGACGACAAGATTTTTCCACAATTCACCTGCCGTTCTATTTCCTTTGAAAAGAAACCTGCGGCTACTATTCAGCACATCATAATCTACAGAAAAAGTGCTATCGAAAGATCCTTGCTGGAATTTAGTCGGGAAAACGCTCGCTGCTTTACACCTTCGCAAAAAGACGTCCGCAGAAAGATTCAAGAATACTGAAATCGAGATATTAAGGACATGCTGTATAAAAAAGCTTCGCCTTTATGAGCTGAGCAAGGCGCTGTTTTCGGATTCAAAATATACTTATTCCGAAGGAAGTTATGGCGAGTAAAATTTAGAAACGCGTGATTTTTCTGAAATTCACCAACGCTTCTATCTCCTTTGGAAAGAAGTCTGAGCCCATTTTTTAGCGCACAATAATCTACAAGAACATTTTCATCGAATAGTACTAGTAAGGTCTTCTATGTTGGGTAGGCGTTGCTTCACATATTCTCGAAAAGACCTCCGCAGAACAAAGTGATGAAACTGGAAACATAATATCGAAGGCATCGTACCCCCACTTCCAATAAATCAGAAGATTCTCCGCGCCGAGCTGAATCGAATGGTGGCTTTGGATCCAGAATTCGTCCACTCTGAAGCGAGATATGGCCACGCGACGGTGATGTCCATACATGTATTGACATGTATGAACACGTATGGACATGACACTACATGTCCATACATGTATGGACATGTACATACATGTCCACACATGTTCATACATTCGCGTCTATATTTCAAAAATGTGAGCGGTATTGTATGGTAAATTTTTGGCCCAAAACAAGAGATGACCTGCTCTATAGACAAAACATGCCTAAATTTGAGCTAAAAGGGCGTTTGTAAATCCAGTTTTGTGATTAGTTTGTACGATTTCTCGCCATAAAACTGCTTACAACTTTGTCGACAAAAGTGTTTAGCAGATATACACGAATTCGATGTGATGCTGCATCCGCTTGTATGCGCTTGCTTAGATTGGTCAATTTGACTTCTGATCTTCTCTTGTCAGCATTACTGCAAACTCAAAAGTGCAATAATTGTGTCAACCGGGAAGCTGGCACTGGTACTTTGTGTACGCTTACAACTTAAATGGACATTTGCAATCCACCATACAAATTTTGCTGAGAGCTGAGTGCAGTGTGTCACATTCAACGCTGTAGATGTTTTCAGTGCTCTCTGCAAACATACTCTCGTATACCCTCGTACGAATGCAGATGTTGAACTTTTCTGCAACGATTCATATCTTGCCCCAAACATTCGCACTATTACTGCTGCTAACGATCTATGGACGAAGGACATTGCTAAATCATTGCTTCCTGAGTTATAAATACGACGGTACTGAGAACCAAAGCATCCGATGAAGCTACCGTGTATCCTCGCTGTAAGTCTGGCAGTTTGAGATTTTTTAGGCAGATTCAGGGTTACACTTTCAGCTTATGCCTTTGTGCTATGCTGTTACTGATCTATATGAGCTGGGGAAAGAAGACTGCGTCCCATTTGGTTGGATTGCCGAGTTTGGCAACACGCTAATTAGACTATTGAAGCAAAGACAGAAGGAGGTAAGCTAGGCCTTCATAGAAATTGACCTATTTCTTGTACCTGAAAAACATGGCATGCGCCTACATACGCCTACAGCATTGCAAGGCGCATGGCGTTAGCAACGCACTCCGAAAAGATTTTTGGAGTATTTCTTAAAATTTTTCGAGCCCAAGACCCTAAAATGTAAAAAAGAGGGCGTGGCATCAGCCACACCCCCGAAAGAAAATTTTTACAGAGCTAATTTGAATTTTTAAATAATTTTAAAATTTATTTTAATTATTTACAAAAATACACAAGTCATTTGCACTTTTCTATAATCCATGTATATAGGTACTATAGGTAGCAGTGGCGTGCCGAGGGAGGGAGCGGGGCCCCCCCCCCCCGGGAATGGGTCGCGAAATTTTTGAAAGTTACTTGCATGAGTTATAAAGTTGTGCAAAAGACTTATTTATACTTGTAAGTAATTAAAATAATTTTCAAAAATTTTTTAAAAATTCAATTTAGCTTTATAAAAAAAAATTTTTCGGGGCCCCATTCTCGGGGGGGGGGGCCTCCCTGGCCCCTTTTTGAAGCAATTGTATGTTTACATGTATTTGAGAAAAACTACTTCTCAGAGGACAGCGACAAAAAACTCGAGGATGTTGCGTGCTTTTAGTAACCACATTGATGTGCGTCAAATTCCGAACTATGAGGGCAACCGTCGCTTAATTTGGAGCTATACTGCCCTGTGGTTTGATTTGGTTGTTGAAAGTAAGGTTAGCTGACTGAAGCCATTCTATCCATGCTTTCAGTTTGCACGGTAAACATTTCTGTGAACTCAAATTTTCCTGGGCTTTGAGGAAGTTATTGTTCGTAGAACAATTTTTGATGGCGCAAGCACGCCTCGAAGCAAACTATTTCGAAATTGAGATGCTCTGTAGTTGTTGCTGTTCACTTTGATATGTATAGCAGAGTTTATATGTCTAATTATCTATCTCGCTCCGTTCCCATCAAAAATTGCGCCGAACAATCCTGTAGATTTGCATCTAAGGTTGCAAAGCGTACGCCATTCTTCATTTATTGTACGTGGCAAATCAAATGTTGCGAGCTACAAGTCTATTAGAAAAGTCCATGTTTGCAAAAAAAAATAGGAAAGAAATTGACACGGTTCTCGAGTGCTGTTGGAAATTGAGGTTTCAGCAGGTCACAAGCAAAGATAATAAAATCAGCAACTCATCAAGCATGTACGCGGAACTGTCGATAGCTTCGAAATCAATAGATTTTTGAGATAAACTGCTCTTTTCTGCTTCCAAGAAGTCAAGTCGGTTTACGCGAAGTGCTGAGGATCGCTACAAAATTAACTGAATTACTGTTTGACCCCAACAGTATATCTTCCGTAACTCTACTGCAACTCTTATGAAGCAGCGTACGACATAGTTCAACAATGCTAGAAAATGATGGATTCCATACAATATGGAAAAGTCAAGGACAATCGCACTCAGCTGTCAACTATTAAATGCTTAGCATTCAAAGAAAATTCTTTTACTTATACTTGATGTCCACTCGCAAATTCCCAAAATTCTTCGTCATTCACCTACAGAACGTTTCAACTATTCTACTATCCTGAGCATCTGGAAATCATCATAACACAGAAAGGAAAAATCACGTGCTTGTCGCATGACTGCTTGGTTTTGTGGCTTGAGGTAGAAGGGATGCAGCATTCGAAGCTTTTAGACATCTAGAAGAGAAGCGAGAATTTGTGCCTTATATGTATACCCTTCCGTACAGATTTATATGGTCCCAAATTGCACATGCTTCGGAAATCTAAGTACTAAGGCAGTACATCTCCTCTCATTACGCCTGCAAAAAATTTCGAACTTACTTCTGTGTCATCAGGCTTGGTCAGTGGGTGTCAGGCTCAACGTTTCGACGTCTTCCTCAGAGGCCGGAAAACTCCGATAGGCATGAAGTTCGAACCGAAAGCGAGTGGTCTTCATGCCTTTAAGGAAAACGAAGGCGTCGAAACGTTGGGCAGTCAGATTAAATAAAGAGCCGCTTACTAAAATGTGTGGCACAGAAGCAATTTGATGCAAATATGCCCAGGTGCCATGAAAACGGGACTTAGAAGTCATTTTAAAAAATTTAAAAAATTGGAGATGTCGCTATTCGACGTCTTGCTGGAAACGAGGCTATCTGCAAGATTTTGCATTGCTCAAAAGAATCACATTTGAGCAAGTAATGCCCACTAAATATTTTTGTTATAGTACACATCCGTACAAATATTGCATTGCACTGCGCCGAAAAATTTTTTTAAGAGGAGGCAATGAAGTTTTTAAAGAAGAGATGCCACTAAGCCCACTGAATATTATTGCTACACTTTTTGGAATTTTTGACTTATAACACCAAAATGTTCAGGAAAGGGAACGGTCACAGCTAAGCCCTCCGAAAATATTTTACAGAGCTGATTCAAAATTCTCAAAAGTTCCAAAGGTTTTCGATAATTTAACTCACAGGTATAGGCCACGCAAATTTCCGTCCTTCCCTTCCCACACTACCTATGCATATATTACACACATTATACTCTATATTGGCACCAAAAGTTCGTCCGCATTATTTTTGCGAAAATGTAACATCCTCTGTTTGCGTGATTTCCCTCAGCGTTTTTTGTTATAGCGGTTTGGTAGCTTTTTAGTATGCGGAAACTGTCCGTATGAAACAATAAGGGAAAAACAATGGAGTTTCATTAAAAACAAGCTTGCGAAAAAATCAAATAAAATCGTAAAAAAATCCGAAACAGTCATTGTCGCAGATCCTACGAACTTTTTCTACTATCTGAAAGAGTCGCGTTAATCTAGCGCTTCTACGGAGAGTTATGATTTTTCGGGAAAACGAAAAAATCGGTTTTGGCGTCCTGTTCTGTTCTCTCAAAATGCGTATTCAACATGAACCTTGCTATAAAAAGAAAAAGAGTATAAGATTTGCATTATTGACTGTTTCGGTTTTTATTGCGATGTTTTCAGATTTTTGACAAAATTACTTAAAATAACTCGACTGTTTTTCTTCTTCCATCTTTCTCTCCGTAAATAGTGCTTAATAAAGAAAAAACTAGACAACGAAAATGGTACGAACGAATATTCGGTTCAACCTAACATTAGAAACACACAACTTTAGGATGTAACATACGATTGCAAAGGTGCAGATGTAGCTGCAGATCTTTTGAAGAGTGGTGCTCCTATGCCATTTTTTACCAGGCATTCCGCAGGTGCATTTTACTACAATGAAAGGTAAGCCAGTAGAAGCTGTCGTTTGTGTCTCAGCCTTCCCGCAACGTATTCGTTTTATAGCTGTGGTTCTCCATGTGAATTACCTGAGCCAATCGATCTTGCACGTAACTGGACCAAAAATAATGAGGTAATTTGTCATTAGAACTTTGTTGAGCAGGCCATGAACTAGAGACATAGATGAGGCACTTGTTGCATGTAAGGGCCCATAGTAAACCCCTCCCCCGCTAAATACATCGTGATGTAAGTAAAGCGAGTTCACGACATGTCCAGCTAGAATACATGCTGCTCACGACCATGCCTGTCGCCGCAGAAGTGGCGCGCACACGCAATCGAGCGATAATCGTCGGCGGCGCTTACTGCTTCTGCGCTACAATATCTCCGAAAATCAAAGTTGAAGCGAACGAAACAAAGTACGGCGGACAATACATTCGCTTGTGACATCTCCCGAATAAATCGATAAGCAAGCTTCGATTTGATTTGACCTTTATTTGTAGGTTATAAACGTGTGCAGTGCCCCATATTCACAATCAAGGCGCATATTGATGAGGATGTCGATATGCAGCGGGCGCAGCGCAGCGCCAGTATCGGATACGCTGTGCTTAAAAAAGATATGCTAGAGGGGGTATGCGTCAAGTGCGAGTCGGAGTTTTGCATGAGTTTTAGTGTCTTTAGACAAAAACATCAAGTTCTTCGGCAGTAAAGGAAAAATGATCAGAAAATGTTAAGGATATACAAAAAATTGATTTTTCGTAAAATAATCATTTCCTGAGTTGGCGCAAATACAGGTTCCCAAAAAGATGTGCACACTGTTTGATCGTTAATAACTCTCTTGTTTTCATGTCTTTTGTCGAGCTTGAGGTGCCATTCTGTAGAGCGAGGATATAGATTTACTGTACGGAGCGAATCACTAATCACTCTTTGTTACTGTAGGATCACGGTATAACTTTTAGCATACAGCGTCGCTGTGGAATAGGCCTTTTGATGAAATAATCTCGAGAAAATCTGAAAATTTGTGTAGCAAGGTTTTCAGGCGTGCTGATTTCACTACATAAGTTTCCACCAGTTTTTCGAGTTTTCTTGATGGCGTATTCACATTTCTGACAAACATTGGAAAATCAGTTATTACCCTAATTCTGAAATAACTCACGAAAAAAGCAATGTACTGATGTGAACTTTTCATACTTAGAATCAGCAACTTCGATTAACCCAGTTCAAGGGTTTTGGCCTGTTTGGCTTTCTTCTTGAAGCAAAATACCACTTTCAATGGCTTAAAATCCTCCTCGTTCCTACCGTAATCCTACAGTAGTAAAGAGCGATCGACGATCCGCTCCATGCTGTAGATCTAAGTTAAACCTCGCTTTAAAAAATGGTACCTCAAGCCCGGCAAAAGACATGAAAGCAAGAGAGATTTGATTAACAATCAAACAGTGTGCACATCTTTTGGGACACCCTGTATATGCTACTCTATTAGCCGTAGTGCCAGAAGGTTCCCTTTCTTAAAAATCAAGGGGAACGTTAGGTGCACAGCCAATGAACAGCAAGTCAGCGGAAACATGTGAAATAACTTCTTAGAAGGGAAATCAAAGAATTCTAGCAGGTAGAAAATAGCGCTTAAATGGGTTGCAATGTGGGAAGAGAAAAATTAGCTTAAGCTAAACAAAATATGACTAAAAGCAATCAAATAAAGTTTGTAATCGAAATAAACTCACCTTTTCAAATTAGTGCACAGTAGTGCAGAACTACTCAGAAAAATAAGGTTCGCTTGTCGCCTGTATATTTGAGGCTTATCAGCTGTTGATATCGATTGCAAATGGCGTGGGACCTAATGCTGTGTATCTACGGTCCTTGCGCACTGCACGAACTCGGCGTATTTAACCCCCAATCGGTTAGCCTTCCTGGGTTTCCAAAGTAGTCGCACTGTTTTTCTTTGCCTGCCCCTCGAGTGACGACGTTCACGACGTGCTCGTACTCTGCTCACAAAGCCGAGCACGTCCTGCAATCATGACGTCAGGCTATTTCACCGCGCGACCCTGATAAGAGATAGCCTCCGGACCAATCGCAGGCAAACAACACGTACTGGGTACGTGCGACATTTGGATTTCGCGACCACCACAAGGGGGCATTACCACGTGTCAAGATATACTAGTGAAACATGAGTAACTTCATGTCTAGTTATGTATATTTACAGGCTACTGTGTACACGGTCGGATGTGCCTACAAGAGGAAGAGGTATCATCATGGTGGAGAGTATAGGGTCCTCATTTACTGTTTCTTAGACTTCAACAAATCTTTAGAAACCTACACAGAGTTTAAAGAGGAGTTCGAAAAAATGAGTGCTTCAATGCAATAAAGTTTATGTATTGTCTGCGTTACAATTGCTTCGTATAATCTATCATACAAAAGAAAGATAATTGAATCATGTAATCCTATCCATAAACATGGTTACAGTAGTGTACAGCGAACCATATGTTAATTTACCAACGTTGATGTGTTTTCTTTATTTTTGTTTTCGAAGAACTGTGCATACCCACTGCGCAGGAACAGTAGTTCCACATCATAGTATGACAGAATGAGGAGGCCTTAATTTTGATGCACTAAGTGAAAACTTACAACTTACGAAGGAAGGACATGTTTTGCTGGCAATTCCTGAGATGAGTACCATTAGAGGCGTCTTGACTGATTCATCTATTTTTCTATCTGTCGGTTCTTTAAAAGAATTGATTTTCTTGATTATAGGCTTTTTGTGAAGTCATTCGGGTTTGAATACATAATGTGCTTTGCAGATAAGCTTGGGGGTGAGTGTATTGGTCATTGTTGAGTGTATTGATATAAAGGAAAATTCAAATGCACAATTTTTAAACATGACTAAGTCTTTTGAATAGCTAAGTTGAATGTACTGTGTATTCGCCAGATTTGAATTTTTTAACGCTCAACTTCTTCTTGAGCAACTCCTCATACCTCCGAAGAGCAAAATGGGAGGGTGCCGGGGTCTGCCCAGCGGGGGTTTGCCACTCATGCTCCGGAGCCCTCCCATGTGCTCCGGATGTCCCCCGTGGCATACTGTAGCTAGCCCTAATTAAGCTCCAAACCCCAATTATGCCCCCAAACCCCACACAAATTAGCTCTAGACCACGGTCGAGCAAACGATGTGGCATACGAGCGCTGGATGCCCCCCCCCCCGTAGGAATTCAGCACGACCCTCTACCCCGTTCTCTACCCCTCCCTCTCACCCCAGCGTTTGTAGATAGTAAGATAGAAGAATGAAGACAAGAAGAGATATTTATTTCAAACTAGCATATACATACTTAATACATTGTATAGAGAAAATGAGTTTTTACTGATGAAATTCTATTGGGTGAGATATGCAAATTCAAAGATTTTCTCATCATTGCTATGTTCGGTCTCGCAGCTAGCTCGTTCGTGGGTTCCTCATTTTCTTCTTCTTCATTTCTCTCAACATCAACTTCATCTCGAAGCGTATCTGCCCGCGAGAGACACATGATGCTTCTGCCCGATCATCTTTGTATGAGAAACTGACCTATGGGTCGATTTGAAGCCGCCTTAACGCATGAAATTAATTCTGCAGATCTGAAGTTCTAGAAATGAACAAGAATCCTTAAGCTAAAGACACCCATCCGGTATCTGAGAGTTTAATTGGCCGAATTCTTTCAAAAGATTTAGCTTGGAGGAGAATTTTTGGCGAAATTTGGCCTCAAACAACAGCACTTTCGTTTGGCACAGCTAAATCCACATAAGCAGTCAATCGCAAAAACTTAAAAACTCAAATCTTTTGATCGGTTCAGTCTGCTAAAGTACTGGTACACTGAAACGAATGTAAGAGAATAGAAACGAAAACAGTACTCGGCACTTACGAAAAATTAGCCTAGCTTCAAGAATCTCTGCATCATCAGGCATCAGTGAGGATTTGTGATGCAGCAAACACTCAAGAAGAGCGTTCTACGCAGCCAAAAAATCACCGGCAAATCTCAAAACCAAAGATGGATGCTTATTACGCGCAGGCAAATTAACAGTGCTGTATACCTGCGCCAATTCCATGAGTGCTTACCTTTCTTCTTCGAAAGAGCAAAGTTGACTAATCTATGCGCATTCTTTAATGGTGATTCCCACGAGAAGTCTATGCGGGCCAGTAGAAGCTGATCATACCTTCGATAGTCTAGAGACAGGGCATCAAAAGTGAAGGTTGTCTGAACTTCTGACTTCATAAAAAGTGAAGGTTGTTTAAAGAAGATCATAGAAGAGAAAATGACGTAAAACAGATGTAAAAAGCAAAAGAAACTGCTATTACTGGGTAAAAACGCTGCAATGAGGTTTGAAATCTTTCATTTGGCGGCTTTTGAAAATGCAAGTTTTCGCTCCAGGACCAGCAATTCGCAACACGGGGGAAAGCGAAGAAGAGCTAATTTCCTTTTTGTGAATGTTCCAAAAAAACATGTTTCAGAAGGAGTGGTTATCAAAAAGAAGATAAACAAGAAAAAATTAGTTATGGAAACTCAAAGATTCTTTTTTAATACTAACAAGGGAATGGTCAGAAGTCGAAGTGGCCAAACCAAACAAGCTGTATACCATTCGATGCAGTATAAAACGCTGACTTCAAGTCTGTCCTTCTTATCTGCTTCCCGCTTCTGTGGACGAAGCTACAAGCGGTTTTATTGCGAAAAAATCACACATAAAAGCAGCGAAATTGAGCACACTGTTGCATTTTTAGCTCAGCTTCTTTCTCTAATAATTTGAAGTAGGCTAGCTGCATGTTTTGAGCCAGCATTAAGGCGAACGTGGCTCTGCACGGCTAAATTTTCAATTTCACACTTAATTTCTTAGCAAAATAATGGTATTTAAAGGCTTGTAGCTTCGTCCACAGAAGCGAGAAGCAGATAAGGAAGACAGATTCGAAGTCAGCGTTTTATACTGCGAGTGGTATACAGCTTGTTTGGTTTGGCCACTTCGACTTCTGACCATTCCCTTGTAAGTCGAAAAGAACGTTGAGGCCAAATTTAGTTTTTGATGCGTCCTTTAAATTTTTACCCCCGCGTTGAGTTCCTGTTCTTGGGACATTGTCTGGATTGTTGCGCTTATTGTTCTGAGCAATAATCGCCCAAGCTGGAAAAAAATCGCTGCGAAAGCACAAAAAGAACAAGTTAAAGAAAAACGCAATTTTTACTATTTTTCGCAAAAAATTCTGCTATACAGTGCTGGCCAAATTATATAGCACCCTAGAAATCGTCGTAACTTTCGTTCTTGTCAATGAATCTGTCTGAAACTTTGCTGTATTGTGCGCACGTCAACCTACCATGACTCCTCAAAACGGCTTCCAGTCTTGTTGAGTTTAAACGGAGAAAAACGTAAAAATTCGAAAAGCCCTCTTTGAAAGCTGGACAAAATTATATAGCCACCTGGTTTTTCTAATCACTATCGCATTCGTTGACTCTCAAATTTTTTTGTACAATAATATCCCAAAATATGAAACATTTGCAACACCTACGGCCTCTCGTCCTACTCAAATAGAAGCGATCACTGCATTTTTTGATTTCAAAAGCACGAAAAATCAGTTTGCTTTAACGAACAACTGGTTTGAAGAGTTTTCAAGCTCTTGTTCATTTCAAATGATAATCATAGAATCTACTGACCGTTCTGGATAGATGAGGTGAAAAGCGCTTTCGTAAACTCTGCGTAATCGCTGATTTTGACGGACAGACTCCGACCTCACCATAGGGTTGAGGCACTTTCGCACCACAAACTTCGATTTTCAAGCAACAGAAATTACTGCAATGTAGCCATTACGAAAGCGATACAACAGTGAACTCGTGTGCGTGACTGGGAAAAAATTTCGGGATTGAGCACTCTGGTTCAGCCGCAGTTGACATCCACTGAATGTTGAGTGGAGCACCCTGTACAATCAAAGCCAACTCAGATTACGAGATAAAACAGGAGACGCTCAAAACTTCAAAATCTTAGCTAATCTCATTTATCGGATGAAATATGACATGAAATACAGAGGGAAATAAGGAGATTCAGGGTTGTATCGAATCTTCTGCTCGCAGGGAAATTTCGCGGAAAGTATCTCAGGTCTAAATCGCTACCGCATCATTAGGGAAAATCTGAAAGTTGTTGCGAAAGCTGCATCCCCATGTAGGCAATGTGATAAATCAAGTTCAGCACTTTGTGGACATTGCAAACTGAGTTTTGTGATTTAAAAGCGTTTCAACCCTATGGTGAGGTTGGAGTCTGTCCGTCAAAATCAGCGATTACGCAGAGTTTACGAAAGCGCTCTTTACCTCATTTATCCAGAAGGGTCAGTAGATTTCATAACTATCATTTGAAATGAACAAGTGCTTGAAAATTCTTCAAACCAGTTGTTTGTTGAAGCAGATTGACTTTTGATGCTTTTGAAAGCAAAAAATGCAGTGATCGCTTCTATTTGAGTAGGATGAGAGGCCGTAGGTGTTGCAAATGTTTCATATTTTGGGGTATTATTGTACAAAAAAAAATTGAGAGTCAACGAATGCGATAGTGATTAGAAAAACCAGGTGGCTATATAATTTTGTCCAGCTTTCAGAGAGGTTTTCGAATTTTTACGTTTTTCTCCGTTCAAACTCAACAAGACTGGAAGCCGTTTTGAGGACTCATGGTAGGTTGACATGCGCACAATACAGCAAAGTTTCAGACAGATTCATTGACAAGAACGAAAATTACGACGATTTCTAGGGGGGGGGGGGTGCAGGAGGAACCAAAGGGCTGCCGCCTGTGTCCGCAGGAGATAATTAAGAGCGCGAGCGTTGTGGAGAATATTTTGGCAGGGATCCAAAAAAACTCGGCAAGGACATCCTTTAGGAAGAAATCTTCATAACTTCGCCTGGAGATCACTTCGAAAAATTTAAAAAAATATTTGTAATGCAAATTGGAAGGCGCATTCACTGGGCCTAAAAGTAAATGAAATTTGGAATTGTAGTGGTAAAAAAAGTCAACTACCTTGCAGAAACTTTTTTTTTTGAATTTCGAAGTTTCAAGTTGTTGAAGTCCACGGTTTTCATTCAAAATTCTTCTTCGAGATAAAGAATTATTTTACCTTTTGATTCAATGAAAAGCAATTAAAATGTCATAAGAACACATCTGGAGGTTTGTGTCAAAATGCAATATGCAGTTTGTCTCATAGCCTCAAACCCATTCTAATTTTAAATTTTGACATTAGAGACTTCATAAGATTTGCCATTGAAACTATGTCGGTAATCCTTTAGGTCGTACACAGTAGCAAAAGTACATCACATGCAACTTAGTTAACATTATTTCCTTATTACCATTTCATGCTTTCAACTTTGTATCCAAAAATTTCAC